ACACACACACACACACACACACACACACACACACACACACACACACAGAGAACAGTTAACAGATAGGAGAAAAATAGTAAGTAGCAATTTTAACTTTCTAATTCAAAGAAAAACAAAACATGCAAGAACACAAAAGATAAGACAGCTTTTGAAATAAACAAGATAATGGATTAAAGGGACACTGGGACATTCATTTGAGAAATCACCTTTGCAACACATTAGTTGAATTCACTTTGCCACACAGAAATGTTCAGGATAAGTGGACAATAAAGTGAAGAAAGATGTTACACATATTTTATGTGCCCAGACTAACTGGAGGTTGGCTGCATGGCTGATATGAATGATGTAGCCAATTATTTTAGTTTAGTGTGCATTTATTGTGTGATGATGTGATTGACTAACATGTTACGTCATATATAATCATTATATGTTAAATAGAGTTAATTCATAGGAGTAGAGAGGTATAAGACTGATCAATATTAGAGGAACCATGTGTTAGATATAAGTAAGACAAGCTGAAACGCAAGAACCTGTAGGCTAAGGCCTGCAAGTTTTTAGATTAGCTATTTTAGGCCTTGGAGATAAGAAATGCTGACATAAGTAAGTGACCGAAGAATAACCCGATGCCTTAAGATTACAGGAAAAGATGTACCAATGGGTGATATTGTGAAAAATTAACAGTAAGAGTAATTTTTTGCTTACAAGATACCCGGTAATCTAACACATGCCCTAACCGCAGGGTGCACTATGTACAGAAATGCTAATGAGGTATAGTCAGAATCACATTATAAAAGAGAGTGCCTAGATTAGGAAAATTGAGCTCTCCCTATGGGAAACTCCAGCAGGAACCATCCCTCTACTGATAATCAACCCATGAGTAACCCATCAGACCCTAACACTATTGTTAAGGATGAGAGAATAACTATATTTGTAACTTTTGCATAGGTCTGTATAGAATTTCTATATGCTTGGATATTCATAACTAATTGTAACTTTAATAAAACTTGTAAAACTTGTACTTGTGAATGGATGTGTGGTCACTACCCTTGGTCTTTATGTGTTCCTAGAGACTCTAAATCTGAAGCAAGTAGCAGAGGTGACTTTCACTCTGTTAAGCTTGAAACTGTAGCCGTCAAAGCCAAACCCCCAGTGGTGTAATACCACATTACAAAATTCACCTTAAAATAAAAGGCTAAAACAAGCATAAAAAAAACCCCTCAAGAGACAATGCCAGGGAATGTTGTGAAGGCCCAAAGTATAACTGGGTTTAAAAAAAGAATTAAACAAGTTCATGGAGGATAGGTCCATCAACGGCTATTAGCCAAGATGGTCAGGGATGCAACTTCATGCTCTAGGTGTCCCTAAACCTCTGACTACCAGAAGCTGGATGAGAGGAGATGGATCACTCAATAATTGCTCTGTTCTGTTCACTTCCTCTGAAGCATCTGGCACCGGCCACTGTCAAAAGACAGGATACTGGGCTAGATGCACAATTGGTCTGACCGAGTATGGCCATTATTATGTTCTTATGTCATGCTGCTTATGAAAACAGATGAAATACAATAGAAAATGGTAATTTAGAAACAGTTCTTTTGGACGCAGGATGACCTGATGTGTAGCGTTAAGATGAAATAAGTAGCTATATGGATTTTTTTAAGGGACCTGAATCTTCTCCAGAAAAAAATCTAAAGCAGAATTTCAAATCCAACAACTGAAGTGACCAAGCCCACACAAGGATGGACAAGTAGGCAGGATCAAAATAACCTTGGAACAGCTAACAAAATCAGGTGAAGCACCAGTAGCAGCTTTGAAAGGGTCTCTGTAGAAAGTTTCCAATACCACCTGTTCTTGTAAAATTTGTATAATGTAGAGAGGAGGTCAGTCATTACAATTCGAAACAGAGTCATTCAATATGCTGAAGTTATTGTCCTCAAAAATCATCTCTCATATCAAGTACTTAAGCTTTATTACTGCTTATAAACTACAATGCACAAATGGGGTGACAGATAAAACTGGACTGATACAATCTTCAAATTGGACTAGATTGGAATGGGGTCTGGAGGTGGTACATTTCTTGGTCTACATTTTCTGAGCATGCACTCCTGAAAACTGGTTGTGTCCCAGTAAAAACTGAATGCTCATCACAGTATTTCAAATACATTGCTACATCAATAAATATGACTGGCTGAAATCGAACAGAAATACTTTAGCCTACAGATTAATGAAATGCTGGTAACTGAACTTCAACAAAATAGCAGATATTTCACACTGCAAGCTTCATTCATATGAAATTACAGCTTTTTAATTTGTCCTTTTCCATCAGATGGATGCATTTCATTGAAACAAAATGTCAGACATTTCATAAAAGAAGATTGTGATAATTAATGCTTTTACAAATGTTTAAAATATGGCAATGATGTATTGTTTCAAATAACCCACCTTTGCAAGGCAGAGTAATTTACCTGCTTATTTTGCAAAGCAAAATGTATTTTTGAGACAGCTGTTCAAAATCAATGTAAAAGTTTTTAAATTTTCAACATGTGTTATGAAAGTGCGTGATAATAGGGAACTACAAAATACCTTCGCCTTGTCTGTGAAAGACTCATAGTGTTCTTGTGATGCAAGTAAAAGTCTGTAGGAAGTTCCCAAAGATGAGGTTTTCCTTCTGCAGGCTGGAATACTCCCAAAAATAGGTTAATTGAGTCTTGCCTGTCAGCATCTGTAAAAGAAGAGGTATACCGGGATGTTCTGTTTATGCTCACAAAAATATGATGGAGGCAGTAGTAACAACACCATGGTTATGAAATCTACACTTAAAGCAAGACTAAAATCCTACTGTTTTACACTTCAGGGCTTGAATTTAAACTTTCCAGAAGATAGTTGACATTTTTAAGTATTAATATGTTTAAAACTATTCTGCTGCAAAAGTTAGTAAAGTGCTGCCTTTTTAGATATTTTGACTTATTTTCTTCACATTTCTTATGATTCTTCTGTCTTAGTATAGAGTGTATTAATGCACTAGAAAGCAACCCATAGGCTTTGGCTTGAGTGGTGAATCCAGCACCTCAACCCACTCAAAAGACCCACAGCTTGCCCCGTATCAGAATGACCTTCACTTCACAGTCTGTGCAAGTGCCACAGAGGTAGGGCTGCCCCCAGAAATTTCTCTCATGGTATACTGTGATGTCATCCTGCCCCCCGAGGTGAGAGGTGGAGTGTTGGGTCACCAGGTCCCCCTGGGAGAGATAGGTGTCAGGTAGCCAGGTGCTTGAGTGGAATGGAGTGTCTGGTTGGTCTGAAAGACGCATTTGGTGAGTTTCGTAGAGCATGGAACGGACTTGTTGGGGTGGGGAGGAGAGGAAATGGAGGTGAAGGGGGCTGCTTGGTGAGGTGGGGGGAGTGGAAATGAGGGGATAAAGGGTAGGTGCCTAGTGTCAGCTGGTCTCAGGGAGATGAGGGACTAATATCAGGTGCAGGTGGCACTGGGGTTGATGGAGATACTTACTGGTGTTGCAGGCAGCTGCTTAGCCTGTCCCAGACCCATCTGGCTGGGACAGTGTCAGGTACCATTGGCTGTGCTGAGGGAAAAGGCACAGGGGGCGAGTGCACCCCACTCACTGTACTCCGTTGGTGCTCTTGGCCCAGCACTCTGCTCCCTGTGGCAGTGGTGCAAGCAACGGCCATGTGTTTGGGCCCTGTGCAGGTGCACTGGCCTGGGACAGGCTCCCCCCTCCCAGGGAATCTCAGCAACGCAACCAAGGAGCGAACCTGTAAGCCTCCCCTAGCGTGACTGCCAAAATGGTATACACTATACATGGCATGCATATGGCTGGGCTATGGGCAACCCGCACAGGGCACTGGTGGTGGTGAAAAATGCCCTTGTAGCCATGGCACTGTGTTCGTTGGATTTGAGTGGTGAGTGACACACAACAGACATAATCCTCCCATTTTAAAATATAATTGCAAAATTTGTGGATTTAAGCCTGATTTAGTAATTTCATAATTACATTTATGAATCAGGACTACTTTGGAAAATTAGGGAGGGTTGGCATCTCCGTAAACACCATTTTAGACAAAACATGAAAATGAAAAATTTTGTTCATTAAAATTTTCCAAGTACCTGTAACTCTCTCATTCACTAACCGGTTGCTGAGGCAGGAAAGCAGGCTAGGTTGCGGAGAGTACAGGGGTACAGTATGGAGGTAAGATCAAACTCTGGGATGGCGAGTGGTTATGTAGGGAGAAACAGGGAGGCATTAGCAGGCATGTATAGGGGGCCTTTGGGAAGAGTAAAAGGCTTGTGTGCTGGGGGCTTTGGACAGGAGGACCACAGCTGTGCATGGAGGGTAGAGCTCAGAGGCATTGGCACTTGAAGGACTCCCTGTACTACTGCCTCCAATCCCCAGCATACTGAGGCATTACTGGTGTGGAACAGTTTAAGAGCCAGTGCTTCAGCAGATACACTTTGCTCTCTCAGAACCACTGCCTGAGCTCTTCAACACACAGAAAGCAGCACCAGGGGAACCAAGTATCTCCGCAATGGAGCAAAGTTACCCCATGACTGATGCCTCGGTGCACCAGGGTGCACACAGCAGTGGTGGAAAAAATCCATCAAGTACTGATGCCTCAGCCTGGGCTTCAGGAAACCCACACGGCATCAGTCAACTCCTCAGTAAAAACTCAGCTACTCATCTGGCTTCCTATATCCTCAATAGGCTTGCTCCCTTCCCTGCAACATGGAACATCTTCATAGAGAGTCAAGAGGCTTGCAAGTGGCTGTGAAAAGGAGTGTGTGTGTTGAACAGAGAGGTGTGTGGAAATTTGGTGGACGTAGGGTTGTGGAGAGGCACGGGACTTTAAGGGGCTATTGGTGGTGCTCAGGAGGAGGTGAGTGGAGACTGGAGGCTTGTGTGAAGACTATAACAAAAAAGCAGGGTGTGCCCTGTAAGGGGTCAGGAATGGAAAAAGCAGAGGGGAGAACTCTACTCTGATGAGCCACAGGTACAGCTCCTCTCTCCTCTGTTTTCATACATTCATCAATTATAAAGCCAGAAGGGACCACTTATTTAACTAGCCTTACCCCCTGTATAAAAAGGGCCACAGGACATCCCTGAATTAATGCCTATTGAACTAGAGTATACCTTTTAGGAAAAACATCCAATCTTAATTTAAAGATTGCCAGTGATGAAGAATCCACCACAACCTTAAGTAAGTTGTTCCAATGACTAATTACCTTTCCAGTCTGAATTTGTCCAGCTTCAGCCTCCAGCCATTGGATTGTGTTAGATCTTTGTCTGCTAGACTGAACAGCTCATTATCAAATTTCTGTTCCCCATGTAGGTATTTCTAGACTGTGACCAAGACATCCCTTAGCCTTCTCTTTATTAAAATCAACAGACTGAGCTCCTTGAGTCTCCCACTATAAATAGGTTTGGAGGGATTAAACTTTTATCAGTAAGTGTCAGTAAATTGATTTCACTGTATACACACAAACCAATGGAAAAAGTATTTCCATCAATAATTGAAATTTACGGATAGGAAAAGGAAAATGCTGCTTGGGAACACAGAGCTTGATTTAAGAACATTTACTTTGTGTATTGTGGCATGTGATGTTGACAATTTATGTTGTAATGGTTATAAATCTAACTTTTTGAATTTGAATTTCAATGTCTTCTGTCGTTAAAGAATTATTGTCTGACCCCCATCCATGATTTCTCACAACTGTGCACTACTTAGATATTATCCATCAAAATTTTAAAAAATAAAAATCAAATTCAGCCACGCCTAACTATAAGGCGTGTTTTCCAATCCTTTAATCATTCTTGTGGTCCTCATCTGAACCCTCACCAATTTACCAACATCCTCCTTCACCCACCAGCCCCACTTTTTTTCCCCTATTCTCCCCACACACAACTCCTTCCTACCCCCTTGTTCACCCTCTGACATTCCGCCAGGATCCCCTATGCCCACGTCCCTTCACAGAGCCCTGATTCTCAACATGCTCCCTTCACCTGCTTCCTTGCTCCTCACCCTGTCCCCTATTTCCTTAACAGATTCAACTTATAAAGACGGATTCTTGATGTATACAGGAAGCCCCTCTGGGCTTGCAGGCTGCATTCCCTCTGCAAAATGATTAGTCTGCTATGACTTAACCCACAGATGGTCAGAGAATGAGGAGAATGATGAGACCATGCTAGAACCAATAAAAAGTTTTGAAATAAACTTGGATGATGGATGATAAATTTTTTTTGCTGTAAGTAAAGAAGGGCAGAGTTAAACCCCAAATACAGTAGCACATGTTATACAGGACTCGTTCATTCTTGTTGTACAGCTGGTAGTATGAATAAAAGTGCTAAATAAAACCCCCAAACCCTTATTACACAGAAGGATGAGGGCTCTAAAACAAAACATGACTTTGTAAGAGCAATGGCTTACACATCTTTAATGCATTTTTTTTTAAAAACCCTCTATATAGAGATTAACTTTTTTTTTACACATTAATCACTGTTTTATATATCAGGAATTGCAAGCATTTTGAAACTAACTGTTGTCTTGTTTCAGTGTAATTTATTTAACTAACGCAGCATCTTACTATTTAAATGAAAGATGATAAAATACAATTTATTATGTTCTATTGAAAAGCTGTTTTGGTACTTATAATTCACTAAGTAATATTTGCCTATGACAAATCTCTAAGTTGCCAACAGCAACTGTATTCTAAAGGGACTATATAGTTTTCTTTAGTAACAGAAAAATGCCAGTGTTAAAAGGTTGTAATGTATCAAGGTTCTAGCTTTCTTTCTGTACCTTTTAAACATAAGCATGCAGTTGTGTGTTAAATTTAACAAAAGGTGAAGAACGGTTATCAATGGATTTCTTGCTGTCATTTTATCCCTAAATTCAGTTTGAAACCAGATTTAAAATATAATCTGAAAGATCTTCTACAGATCACTCTTCAGACCAGTGTAGCTGGACTCAAACAGCAAGGGCCAAACACCAGAAATTTTAATGAACTGGGAAGAAGTGATCCCCCAATATTTTAAGGCTGGATAATTTTATGCCAATTTTGGATCATCATATACATGCAAGGTTTTGTCTTCCTTTGAAATACTGGCAATAAGAGAAACAGGATACCGGGCTTTATGGACCAACTTCCTGATCTGGTATGGGAAATCGTGCATTAAAAAAAAAAATCTATTGCTTTTGGTACAAATCAGTATAAAGTGGAGCACCAATGAAAGTTCAAACAGTTTTTTCCCCTTTTAACGTTATCACTGGTTGCTGAAATTATGTACAGGAGGTTGGAAGATCCTGCACAGATTTTCAAAAGATACTATACACTGTACATGTGTTCTAGCACATTTTTTAAGCTCTGTTAGGAAAAAACCAGGAGCTGAAGGGGCCATTTGATTGAATTAGTCTAAAAAAATCTAGTGCTCTCAATCTGTGTTTCCAACTGAACTTTTATGACAAATTACTAAATCATGAGAGATTCAGCAGAACTGGGACTGTAACACCACAGGACTAAAAGGGCATAGCAATTAGTTTGCTTTCATATAACATTAGAAGATAGTTTACTGTGTCCAGCCCCATATGTGAATAAATGGATTACTTTAGATTCCCGAAACATATAATCATACATGTTGTAACACTAACATTTAAGTCTATAGTGCCACATAACTTTCTGTATAAAAAGCATAAAAAAATAGAAATAATACC